TCTAATTTTCTTTTTTCATATTCTTCTTTTGTTGGTGGTCTAACTACTTCTGGATCGTATTGTTCAAGATCATGACAGAGAGTTATACAGTCATCCAAGTTTTCTGTTTTAAGACATTCACCTTGACCAAGTTCTTTCCATCTTTTTTGTAGTCATGTTCTCCATGTTCTAAAATGTTCACCAGGTTTTCGGGCATTTGGGTTAACTTATTTGTCTGCCTCCTCCTGGCTAATATAGTCTCTATTCTTTTGAATAGGTTCTTGGATTGCCACTTGAACAGATTTTTGAATATTCTTTTCAATGGGTTGTTGGTTAGCTTCTTGTAATGGTTTGCATAGATTTTTTCGCTTAAGATACTCACGAAGTTTTTGAGGTGTTGAGCATTCACGACCACAACGTTTACAGATTCTAACTTTCTTATCACTTCTTGTTTTTTTAACTATAGTGTTTGCTCTAACCATCGTGCTTTTACTTGTTTATAAAATTTTTTCTTTAATTAATTATTTCTTATTCTTTTCACTTTCCGATTATAGAGTTTCTACCGAAGGCAGTATTTTTAGGCTTGCCAAAATAGTTCTAGCTATCCTTCCCAAAACTGAAGTATTAACTAATTATTAATTAATCTTTCGAAATTTAGTAATAAAAAATAAGATGATTGGTGAATATTCCTGCCCATATCTTTGCAATATCAGAAAAGCTTGTAGGAGAGCTTGCATTCGCCCTGAAGGTTGCTGATTTCATTGGAAATCAAAAAAACAGGTTCCATACTCTGATTGCAAGAAGCCAACTTCTTCAGCTTGTAGACGATGCCTGTTAGATATTAGAAGTTATTATGTTATTCAGTATTATGATAGGCTTCGATCAAAAATATAAGAAGATAATGAAAAAATCGTTTTGGCTAGCACTATACTTTAATTTTAGCCAGAATTTTAGATGCAATATTTAATGAGCATTAGCTAAATTTTCGTTAGACTTTTATATTTTTTCATTAAAATTTCATGATTAATATGCTATTTGTTGAGCTAGCTTGCACAAAATTCATTCTTGACTAAGGAAAAGTTAGAACAAAAATCTCAGTAGACTTATTTAATAATTATGCTATTTAATAAGCTAGCTTGTATAGAAGCTATTCTTGTCTATAGAAAAATTCATTA